ATAATCATGTTTTCTCTGAAATTATACTTTAATTAAGTTGTTCATATAAACGTGAACGAAATTGTCCCTGTATCTTATTGTGTCCCTTACAAATTGACACTAAATTGTCATGAAATTTGACTTCTAATCCCTTGGATGCTAGTTGCCTAATGGACAATAATTAGGCGAAAGGATTTTTATTATTAAACATACAATAGTTATGTTTTCATTATGCCTACTTACTGCTACTCCTTTCTGTGTAGCTATCAAATCTATTATGAAGTTAATATTATTACAATTAAAACTGTTACTAATGTGGCTAACGTTAGTAACAGTTTTAATTGTAAAAATCTATATATAAATAGCTTTATTATCTTCTTTCTGTTCTTTTTGATCCATCGCGTATGTCGCTCTACCTGGTGAAGTTCTTCCTCGTCCTCGCATCATTAGTCTTCTCTGGTCTGATCTTTTATATCCTTTTAAATTACTTCTCACATATTGCCAATTTCCATGTGATGTAGTTGGCTCATCCCGTTTTCGTCCATAGTATCCTCGAATAGTTTCAATTTTTAAGCATACAAATATTTGTGAAAAGAAAGTTCATAATAATTGTATAGCATACAAATATTTGTTCTTGGGGCGTTTGTGTGTCATTGTTTGCAAATTTTATTTTTGCATCAAGCAACCTTGATTTCACAATGTCCAATTAAAAAGTACTATTAAAATAACTAACAGTAATCTTTGCCAAACAATTTACACAAACTTGTAAAATTTATTTTGTTTAATTCTATTAAATATAATTCATGGCGGCTAAAAGACAGAAACATAAACAATAGACTACATAAATAATAATAGACTAAATAAAAGGTCAAGAGTGAGTTGTGCACTTATACACAGTACACAGACTGGCCGCCGAGATCTAGTTAGACAGGGACGTAATGCTTTAGTATTACTTCTCCATCTTCAGAATATTTTTTCTTTTGTTTCTCTAAATAAATTAATACTTTGAACTAATTATCTTAAACAAAGAGTAAAGTTGCCAAAATTAAAGAATAATCATATATTCTGTTATACCATAGAATAGAGTAGTATAGTAGTTCCAATAATTTTCGCGAATTTATACAAAGTGATTTTCTTACATATATAAGTACGAGTATTTAACAAAGACACACTTTATTCATCTATTGGAACTAAATCTATTATAATTTTGCTTTCGCGAGTAGGTACACAAGTTTTTTTTTCATAAACCAATTTTATTTTGAAGTGGAATAAAACAGTTCCTCGTAAGTTTTTAATCGAAGTCTCTTAAAGGAGTTTAGACACTTATGTCTAATGGGTATCAACCTCGTAGTGCTTAAAGGAATATTCCCCAGATTATTTTTATCTACTTCGAGGAAAAAGCGAAAGCGTTCATATTTTGCCAACCACTTCAAGTGCTTCTAAAAATCATTAAGTTTTTTAAAACTGGTAATATTCAGAAACTTAGGGTAAAACGTTTCGGTAGTTTTAGTTTAAGTAATTAAATAAATTTTATACTATTACAAAAGAAAAATATGACGTCAACGAAGTATAAGTGAAAAATAATTCAAGAAATTCGAGTAGAGGGGTGAGTCGGTTGATTATGTGAAAAATTTAAACAAAACAACTTCAACAAAAAGCCTTTAGTCGAAGTGCCTTGATGTTTTTTACTCGTATTTTATTTTTATACCCTGTATACTATAGTAATCAGTTATAAATGTCCAAACATTTCCGGAAATACGAATTAATGAAATCTACGTTAATTTTGCAATTAACAACATAGGTGTACCAAAATCTGATGGCAAAATTTTACATTTCTCGATTTTTTGATAAATTAGGTACTGACGAAACGGTTTAGGTTCTTTAACAACAGTTGAAGCGACTTTCTAATTAAATGTTATTAGTATATACCTTCATTTTACTATTTTAGTTAAGTTTTTGTAACATTTAGTACCCCAGCAGACCAATACCAATAATATAGACTAATAGTGAGCACCTTTAGTCAGATAAAGTTTGTTATATAATAAGCTGTATTAACTCAATCGAATGCACAGCTTTGATCTAGGAAGCTTAGCTTTAACCTAAATTGATTAAATATGCAAAATGGAGTTATTTGTGCTGATAAATATTTTTATTATAACCTTTCTGTAGTGATAATGCGATATTATTGTATATAGTCATAGCCGTCGCTAGTATGATTATAATAAGATTAAATAAGGATCTGAAGATAATTATAAATATTTTACATGTTGCACTGCTTTTATTTCTTTATTTTAGTCTTAGCGTGAATATAAGCAGTTTTAAAACATACAATAATTGAAATATCAGCACAAATATTTTTAATAATTATAAAATTATCATTAATTACACCCAAATCCTTGGAGGTCACTGAATGAATGAATGAATCAGCTTAATGCAAATTAATCTATAATAAGATGATAACGTCAAAGTTAAACTCACTTTGTAATTTGTAGTGTAAGAAAGTAAGCGAAATAATATGAAACTATGTAAATAGGTCAAATGGAATTATACGAACGATAATATTGCATCCATGTTTTGATAACTAATATTGAAATATTCAATACCGCACTAACAATAGGTTAGCTAACTCACATATTTGTAAAGTATGGCTTTGATTTATCTCTGTTCAACCCCTGTAGTTTAATAGCGTAAAGTAGGCGAAAAATTACTTTATTTTGTTAATATCTTGACTACAATGTTATTAGATTTGAAACAGATCATGTCTCCTAATGGAAAAGCTGGAATTTATCTTGATTATGTTCAACTGTACTCAGAATGTAACCGTAAATCAGATGTTAATCAAAGGGAAAGAATGGTCGGGGATAATAAGGTGATACTACCGTAGAGCTGTTGCAGGGTGGAAGAAAAATTCTTAATTACTATTTCGGCCGACACCAACGCATGTAAAATTATTGATATTTTCCACTATTTGTTGTCTATGTAAAATCTTGTTATGTAGGTACATATTAAGTTTTAAGAGGCCTATTACAAATGAAAACAAATTCGCTACACGGTCGAACAAACTAATAGTGGGCCAATTTGTAGTATTTTACAGTAACATTTATCATTTTTATTATATATTTTTATTCAAAAAATCATTAATCTCTATTATTCTGGGGCGAATTATTGTTCAATATTATGAGTGTAAATGGGAGATTCACAGTTTTAAAGAATGGTACTAGCAATACGACTATATAAGAGATAACATTTTTTTTTCATACTTATAGTATAAACAATCGCTCTAAATTTGAAACGTTTTTAAATTTCTTTAAAATACTGCGCAAAGCTTTTGGTAACAACACATATAGCGAAATTTCTTCGTACGTACTCATTCCTATTGAATTTTGGATATCAGTACTTAGAACATGTATACCATCACCATATTCTATAGAATGTGCATCGCATCCAGCATCTTGACCATTTATCTTTCACTGATCTGTAACCTTTTTGTTAATACAAGTATTTTCTAAACTTTTAATTTTTTAGTTTGATAAATCAGTTAGAAATAAAAGTAAATAAAGTAAAACTAATTCCTAAAACCTGTCGAGTGTAATATCCCCTTTCAAGTTGCAGGTGTATACAAACTAGAATGCGACTGTGGGCTCTTATAGATTGGGCAGACAAAGAGGAGCTTAGGAACTCGCTTTAGGGAATATATAGGTGACGTTAAACATAGGTGCGAAAATAAATCTGTAGTGAGTGAACATACAATAGGAGGACCCAAGCATTACATAAGATTTGATAATCCAAAAATACTTGCGGCTAAACAAAAATTTATTGATAGAATGATACACTAAGCTACACTGAAAAAAAAAATGTCTACTACAAACACAATCTTGTTTATTATAAACACCCTTCTTGTTTCTATTTGAACCTGCTAAGAGCTAAATTGATTTGACTTAGAGAACTTTGTTGAATATTTAATCAAAAATATTTTTAATGCAATTATGAAACCATTTTAAATCTACAATTTTCCACAATAGAATCAACTAAGAAAATAGTTATATCAATGCTAATACTTGCTTATTCGAACAATTATTTTATTCAATTCAAACATATTCCTTCTTAAGATTCAATAAGACACTACTTAAATCAACCAAGACTCTTGATTCTGCCTACCTAATGCAATTTTAAGCCTACAAAGTATGTTTGTAGATTCTATTTTTCCCATAGTTGTATTAACTAAGAATTTAGTTATATCAAAAATATTACTTATTTATAACAACAATTCATTTGTTCAATTCAAATATAATTTTAGTTTAAATTAAATAAGAACCAACTTTAAACAACCAACATTCTTGATTGCGCCTACCTAATACTATTTTAAATCTACAAAGTATGTTTGTTTATTCAATTTTTCTAATAGTCGTATTAACTAAGAAAATAGTTATATCAACGGTATAACATACTTAGAAGAACAATTAATTTGTTTAATTCAAATACGATACTCATTTAGATTCAATAAGAAACTACTTCAATCAACCAAGACGTTTAGTTGCACCTACTTAATATTGTATTGATCCAATTAAGCTGCTTGTTTACAATAACATTTATCATATTCAGTGCAAAAATGTGTATTAGTTCATTCAATCAAGGTCTTGGTCAAGTTTGTCAAATTAGTTTATTGTATCTACTAAGAGTGATTGTTGGTATGTTCATATCAGATAATTGATCTAATAAAGACACTTCTTCCAATACACAATTAAGCTATAACTACTCTTGTCTGTCGCGACACGATGTGTGTCGTTACGGTGTGAACGTAAATATATAAGTTCACACCGTAACGACACAATGTGTCGCGACAGACAAGAGTAGTTAATACCGTAATTGTGTATTGGAAGAAGTGTCTTTATTAGATCAATAATCTGAAATGATGATATATGGTTTTATGAAAAAAATAAACGTTTTATTTGAAACTATCAATTTTATTATGTATCTTGTACATTATTTACTTACTTCCTAAATTATTCAATATTTAGATATTATAATGCACATCGCACAGTAATATATTTTTTGCCATTATTAAGAACATTAATGTTACATGGGATAGGAGACACTAAAGACTTGTAACGTTTAATAACATTTTGATTAGTTTCAGTTTCGCCAACTTCATAAGCAAAAAAATGGTCGTCAAATCTCAATGTCTGCATTAATGTTCCAACAAAAATTAAATCATTTGAGTCATACAAGTAAACATTGTTAACCCTTAAGAATTCAGGCAATGAATCGTTGGTATTTGTATCGTAAATTAAAATTGTACCCTTAACATACCGCGTAGAAGATACAGTAGCCCAAGTTACATGGACTAGTGGTCTGTCATCACATAATTGCATAGTTGACAGTATGAGTTGTTTAATATCAGAATCATTATAACTTACTCTAACAGCAGGACCTGTCCTAAGCGTATCGGGTAGTTTACCTGTCAGAAACAATTCATTGAGCTGTAGTTGATGTTTTGTAGTTAGGGACAATGTAATATTCTTCCTATTACATGATACATTTGATGCCATTTTAAAAACTCTGTGTTTAGCTTCAAAACGCATACACCATAAAGAAACAATAGGACCATATTTTTCTAATGCAGTATGATAATGAATTAAATTATGAAATTTTGGTTTTAATGAATCTTTGGTAAGTGATAGATACAAAGTGTTAAGATCCTTTACAGCTGTTTGTAATAGTTCTCCAGTGCCTCTGGCGAAAGCAGAAGATAGGATTATTTCTAAAACAATTCTTAATTTCAGATACAAATCCCAAATTTCATTCTCTCTAGGAACCGATTCCCCTACCAATAAACCAAAATATCGCAGCAAAGTTAGCATTTCTGATGCCGATTGTCGGACATTGCTACGTATAAGATTTTCCATAGAAAAAGAACAAGGTTGATTTCTACAATCAGGACCATACTCAAAAGCATGAATTTTATTATTGAGTTGAGTCAAAGTAAAAAATTTAAAACGTCTTATGCATTGAAGAAGAACAAATTGCATTACATATTTCGCAACACCTTCTAATATATCATGCATGCAATCGACACCAACTTGATTAAATAAATCAAAATCTATGACATCAAGCCATATACATTTTTCTTTAATACCTGTTTCAGAGGGATTGATACATAATAGGTCATTTTGATAATTTTCAAAATTACGTAAAATATCTTTATTTTCAATGCACTGACTTCTCAAAACTTGTTTTGAAACTTTACAAATTCTACAAGAATAATTTGCGGAAAAACTTTCTACAAAACCTGTAATAGCATGAATACCGAGATTATCTCCTAAAATCAAACCGAGTTCAAAATAAATGATGCCTTTGAAAACCGGAAGGTCGAATTCTATGCCATGTTCGCTGAGATAGTTGAGTTCGTCAATCACGCATCGAAAAATAATATTGTTACCAAAAAGGACTCGATCAGATGAGTGAAATAGAAGCAGTAGGAATATATTTTTAAGCGCTGATGCACGACACGGTGGTAAGCAAGGAATTGATGCGTAAACTGCGCCTAACTTATGTTGTCCTGCTCGGGAGCCTAATGCATTACCAATCTCATAGTCATCAAAAAATAAAAAAATAGGAATTACGGTTTTGCCTCGTCGTTCACATAACCTGCTGCGCCAAAATGTACCCTGAATAAAATTTTCCACAGCGTTATTTTCGCACATTCTATTAAGAGAGTTCATATATGATAAAGTTTCTGAGAGAATATTTTCAAGAGAAAAAAATGATTTAAGTACTTTGCGAAGTGAAATGAAATGCTGTTCACATGTAACTGGTTGAAGGCGGACAATGGCTGATCGCTTTACTCTTTCTAATCTTTCTCCTATCACTATAGATATTGGCTCAATATACGTCCCCTTATTTTTAAAATATTGTAATCTTTTATGTTCACTATCATGATTCCTCAAAGAATTTGTTAAAAGAAGTTCAATTTTATTTATGGTATCTTGAGCGATAGAATTACTTGTAGTTAAATTTTCAAGTTGTTGTTTTAATGCTAGTAACAAATGATTAGACATAAATTTACTAAATTCAGTAAACACTGTTTGAACCACGTTTCTTGGCAAAGATTGATTGGCATACAACTTTGCAACAAACATTGAAAGCCCGTTGTCAACTATCTCATCACATGGCAATAAACTTGAAGTGGTTGAAGACCTAGAACATGGAAGTAATTGCCGATTGTCAATAGCATCAACAGACGCATTACCAGACTTCAAGTTAGATATACTTGTGTTGGTTATTGGTTGTGGAAGATTGTTTGATATATTAGAAAAATGCTCCCTGATTATATGCCTTCTAAAAGAGAAAAATAATTGAAATTGACGATTACAGCCGTCCTCGACACATTTATATGTTCGCAGGCTATCAAAACTATGTGACAATTTAAAGTGCGACTTAAGAAATTTTGTATTTGGTAATTGCAAATGACATATAAAACAAGTCAACATGATGAAAATTATGAAAAAATAATATTTTTTTAACATATATTCAACGGTAACATAACCCGATGTTACTTTTACTTTAATACAATAGGTAACAATAATACAATGTTCACAATACAATTATGAATTACAGTTCAACATAGGAACATGACCTACATATCACAATCTGTTAAAAGAGATTCTACTGAAGTTGAGCCTTTGTCATAACTTGAAGTCATTTTATAGACACCTCTTTGTAAAAAATACCATATTGGGTAAGAGTCACTACTGTACTCTATATTTAATGACCAAAAAATTTTATAACATATATCAACTGCTTCTAATATAGTGTCTACTTTATATAATGTTGACTGATTTACTACAACTAAAAATGATTTGATCTTAAATAAAGTCTCACCAACAATTAATATATAAGGTTGCGGGGATAGGCCTTTTGTTTTCAAATAGTTTAGTCTGGAATCTATTGTTTCATGTATTGCAACATCTGAATGTATGTGTTTTATAAATGCATCTCTAGCTTCAGCTTTGGTTGGCTTCCAGGAGCATCCGGACTCTGATTTGCCTTTCTTATTCTTCAACTTAATGTTAGATGTATTTAGCAGATGAGCGATTGCTAGAAAGACTGCTAGATTTTGGTGTTCTACATTAGAAGCTGAAACAGATAAGAATTATTCATTAGAATATGTATGCAAGGAAGTAGGCAGGGCATCGTAACTAAGAACTATCAAAATCTGCTGTTTCATACTGTTGGCGATGGTAGGTATTACTATTTTGTATGAAACAGCTGATTATTTTTTCGTGAATTCAGTGTTACTTACAATTGGTCAAATTGTCAATTTCCTGGTAAATGGCGTCTTTTGCTTTCAAAGTCCGTTTCTTAAAACAATTTATAACTTTCAATTTGATTACAGGAAAGAAAAAGAACAAATTATTAGCATGCTCTATGTATAGTTCTTCAAAGTCAATCAAAAGCTGAAATAAAAAATAAACATTGTAAATACAAGAATAGACATGGGAATTCTAAATCTTAAAAATAGATTTTATACAAAGGGCCCCACCATTTGTATAAAATTTATTTTCTAATTTATTATAAATTGTAATGAAAGATATATTACATTCCACAAGACAGTTAATATGGCCTTTTTGTTTGTCAAATAAATGTGTTCAATTGAGCTTACTAATTCTACTTACTAGAGAATAACCTTGCGGAGTCCTTAATGCTGGGTAGATGCTTAAGTAAGTTTCTATTGTTTGTTCTTTGCTCTGGCTATGTAAGTAAATAATTCGTTGTTTTGATGTTGCTTTCCATTTTGTTTCTACTAGATTCCAAGGATGTGTGGAGTTTTTTAGCCACAGTAAATCTTCATTCACTGTTTCTGTTAGTGTCTCACTTATATTAACACTTTTAGGCAATGGTCTTGGTGATGAAGAAGGCAGCACGAGACTTTCCTCTCTGGTCCTCTTTTTAGTTTGTAGCGACCCTAATTGCTGCAAACGTCTTCTTTTATTTAATACTTGGTGAACAAGTTTCCCTCTTGCTTGCAAAACTACACCAGATGCTGTTGTGCAGGCAGGGATATAATAAGTAGTACTCCTTTCACCAGGGAAAAGTTTACATATTAATTTTGTCCATTTAAAGTAAATTTGTCCGACTATTGGTATATTTCTGTTTTCATTCAATATTTCTTTTGCAATGATAGATGCCAATAGATTACTAGCAGCATCTCCATCTAAGGCACTTCCCTTATATATAAGGAGGGAAGAGGATTCAAGGGACTGCTTTAATAAGTCCTCAAGAATCTGAAAGAAAAATGAGTAGATTTAATTTTAACACTAACTAAAAGTAAACAGCTGCAGAGGCAATACCTACCTAAAGTTTATTTTTAAATTATTAGATCTAACAGTCGCAAAAGTTCATTCTAGATAAAAATAATTTAAAGCAAACTTGATAGATTGATAATATTCTATTTTTTCATGTATTAGGTACTTTGTGTGCTATTATTCTGTTCTACCTGTCTCAAGTATTTAGTATAATGTACTTTAATGCTCTTCTAATCTACTGGCACTGAGACAGGGATAATTTTGCATTTATTAATATTGGTAGGGATTATTAACAATTCAACTTACATTGCTCTCTGAATCCAAAATTACTGGTACTGATTCAGTTTTATATAATATTGGTGTATTTTCTTTATTTTGAGTTTCAGATGCACAGTTGTGCAATGGAACAACAAAATCTTGAGATTCTTTTGATACAATGCTAGGAATTTGGGAATCTAGTTCAAATTCAAAATTTGACAAATCAAGTCCCTGAAAACATCAACATTATAAAAATGGTTCAGAATCAAAGACCTACATATGTAGGTATAAACAGGGTGTTCGGAAATTGTGACACAGTGCATTGTCAGCACATTGGTAGTAGGTACTGCTCGCACTTTACGGTAAGAGTAAGAGAGTGAGGGCAATAATGTCATTTTTCTATAAGCATACTCGAAGGTTCGAAGTACTAGGTAGGGGGTAACACAATCTATGGCAGTGCTCATGGTGGCCAAAAGTAAAAACATTGCAAGCTTTGTCATCTGTCATATCATACCATGTACTTGTATTTTTTCTACTAAATTAATGTGAAAACTGTTTATTGATCTTGATTTAAAATTCAAAAGAACTAAAATAATTTATTTTGTTAATTTTAATTCAAATCTAAATCATAATTTGAATAGGAATGGATAAAACAATATAGAAACTGTGCTGAAATATAATTGTAAATTTTCTTAAAGATTTTTTTTTTTTTATTATCAAACCAACTTCATGTTTCATATATATTTTAAAGTAAAATAACATTCAGATTGATTACTTTTGTTGTTGTTTTCATTATTGTACAAGTAATATAAATAATGACTAAAAATAATGTTTATATTTGCTTTTATCAATTAGGTACTTTAGTCCTGCTGTATTCAGGTGCAATCAAATTAATATTAAAATAAAAACATGGTCATACTGATTATGAGTTCCAATGGAGATTAATTACCTTCTTTGAAAGATATACAGTTTTTATTTTATATTGTGACTGATATACACAAACCCAGTACTCAGAATAATACTAATTTCAACCTAAAAACTATATTTCATTTATTTCTTATTTATATATTGTATATTTTTACTATTATTTATTAAACCTTCAAAGGAGCTTTAATTTCTTGTTTGACAGTAATATTGCAATTAAAAATGAGCTGAATAAAATCTGACATAACAAAAATGAAACAAATTTTAAATATTTAGTTACCTCATTTAATTTGAATGATAAAAAATAATTTGACAACCCTTTGTCCACCAAATTCACAGTATCACAGTAGTTTTGTTATTTAAATTATTAGATAGTATTTTATTTTAGTATTTGATTTAAAAATCATGTTTAATTTCAAAACATTCAAGCTCGCAAGGTTGGGTATGCTAGGTGCCACTGAGGCGTGCACACAGCCAATAATACAACCACCATATCAATAATTACACTATCAAACTCAACAAATTTTTCTATTTGGACATTAGTTTGTGAGATTCAAACTAACAAATTCCTTTCTTCTGTTCTTTAGTAATACTACAATTCTAAACAAACTGTAAGGATACAAAGATATACAAATGAACGCTAATGAGATAATGATATGTAAAGTAGTAATAAAAAAAGTTAACAAGAAGATGTAAAATAAAATAAAAAGGTAAAATACATAAATAAATGATAAGTTGATAGAGATAAAAGCTTACCGAGATAGATGAGATGTTGTTACTCTCGCAACCATTTTGAGAAAACTCGCTTTTCCATGTACTCCAGCATCTAGTGAACAAAACCCTCGGTCCTGTTTGAGGAATAAGATCCCTTAGATCTTCTTTTGTGAGGGCAGATAATGCCTGAAGCGTAATCTGCTCCTCTAAACAGAATAAATAATTTATTATTAGGTATATACCATATCTATAGTAATAAAAACGCCGTAGTTTTTTTGTTTGTTTAGTTGAATGCACTAATCTCAAGATTCTAATTGAAAAATTATTTTTGTGTTGAATAGTCCTTTTATTGAGGAAGGCTATATAACATTACGCTATGACTAACAGGAGGGGATCAACAATGAAAAATATTGCAAAATCGGGAAGCCGGTGGCAGAAAGCTATTATAAGTACCTACATAAACTAATCAACGTACAGCCGAAACTAATGTACCTATTTAGAAACTTGAAATTTAGTACAGG